GATCTTTCGTCTGTGTTTGGCGCTGTGGGCTTCAAAGACTTTGAACCGTGAACTCCTGTCTGCACCTCCAACACCAATCCCAAGCCCGGTAAGACCTTGCTTCCCTGGGTGGTGTTTTGGGTCCCTAGTCCCTAGCGCAGCGCCAAAATTGGAACCCTGGCTAAAACAAGCATCAATGCAGCGGGAATATGAAGGGCCGAGGTGCTTTTTAAAAGCTACAAATCAGCTCAGTAGGTCAGCTCTGAAGCATTCAGGAATTGCACCCCTTCATGAAGGAGTCTGCCTTGAGCACAAACCGGAATTTAGCGCCGACCTGATCCATAAAGCGATCGAAGTCTCAGGGACACTAAGCAACATACGTTCATGACCAAGCGGTATTGGGTTCTCAGGATATCATGAGAACCGCAGTGGCAAGTCCTGGATATTGACGCGTAAATTGACGACCTCCCATCCCGTCATCGGCTTCCCACACGAAACTTAAACCCCCAAGAGCAGTTAACATAATTGTTGAGTTAACGTTCGATTTAAGCAAGTGCTAATAACTTATCCACGGAGATACTAAAGTGAAGACCCTGGAACGCAATTCTTCGGCCTGAAAGCGAACCTCCTGACAAAGACCTACGGCGATCGGAGGAAGTCTTGCCAACTTATACCTAATGTTTTGGGGACCCGATGTGGCACAAGATTTCCTCCGTCCACCATATCAAGATCTTTTCGCAACCTTCCTGCTGAGAACTCAGGATCCTGGACTCCACTGGCAAGCGCTCCTCAAACTCCAAGTCGCTGGTAGCGATATCACTTCAGTCACCTCATAACTCTACTCATGAAAACCCTGAGCTACCCCTTGTCAAGCCTTCTGCCGCGACTCTTCCACCCTGGCCGTCCTGATTCAACAGCTGAGCTTACAGAAAGGTGACAACTTCTTGCAGAGATTAATTATGGTGTAAAGGTGCAAAACCTGGAAGTTCATTAGGCTCCTTTAGAGCACACAACTGGGTAAGTGCGATATTTGGTTATGGTTCGTGCAACATGAAAAAGGCGAGCCACTGGGATTCTCAGCAGAGTTTAACAGCGGCACCAAGTACAAGGCATCTGTGCGGGGCCTTTCGCTTCGAAGCACGAATAATGTTGGCCATCCGTAGTGCAGGGAACAGCACTATTTGGTAGGATCCGTGTTCCTTTGCGCATCCTGTGAATCACCGAACCCAAGCCCCTGCGTTTATCCAACACCAGCGCCCATCCCAAACCGCTTTGATGAAGCGCAAGAAAAACATTATAAAAAAAAAAAAAACACGAGCAATGCTTGGGCTTTTCGATAGAAGCGGGCAACCTGAATCCCAAGCATTCTAAGACCCCTATGTTGCGTACGGCCAGCCAAGAAAGGAACTTGTAACACGCAGAAACCTTCTAACTATGTCCCCTGCGCTACACCCTGAATCAACACGCCAAACATCCATGCCCTGGACCACAAGCACAAAACCCCAACTGCAACTCCTTGGACCCCCAAAACTGCAAGTCCTAAGACTCAAGCAGCTTAGGTGCTAGATTTCCTCCGTGCCCAAGACTGTCTTCAGATCTGAAAGCCTTCCAAGTCCTGCCTCGAAGGACCTTCAACAGTCTTCCGCGCCCTGCGGATCCTCGGAAGGGCTTCGACTTTCGCAGAACTTTATACAGCGTCCGTACATTACATGGGATGATAGTGCAGGGGCCTAACGCACTTTGTTGGGTCTAACGCCATCGAAGCTTGGGGACCTGGTCAAGGGTGCGACAGGGATATGGAGCTGGTCTGTTGCTGAGTTGCTAAGTTCGGGAACTGCGACACGGCCCATGAAGCGTCTATAGGAACCACGCTGATATGAACTAGGTCCTACACTCTAACCTATACTGGTAGACATTATTGCAAATCCTGATGCTCTGGAAATCCTCCACCTTCGAAACCCCAAATGATTTCCTCATCTACAGTTCTGGAGGTCTCTGCAGGCGAAATCATATGTGCAAGTAATTAATCTTTGCATGACGTAGCGCAGTGTAGGGTTTCCGCCGGGAGAACCTACAGGACGTAGACAACGATCCTTCCTCGAATGTGGCACACAAACCCGACCAGCCTTACACCTTAAATCCAATCATCGAAATCCTATCTAACAAAGCAGACGAGAAAAAAAGAAGAAGCAACTCCACCAGTCCTCATAAGCCTCAGCATGGGCATGAGCACAGCCCCCAGTCTACCCCAAAATGCGGGATGGTCCCCAGAAAAAGCAGAGAGCTTTATGACACTTGGTTGCAGGCGGATCGTTCTTGGGGCTCACCGCATCTTCAACTTCCTGCCACGACTGGGACTCTGAATGTCGCTTCTATTAAGTAGATGTGCCTCGAAATCCAGACCCTGTTTGCGGGCGTCTGCGTCTTGGCAGCACAGACTTTTTTGCAGTTTGCTGTCGCTGCATTTATTGTGTGCTGGTTTCGGCCATGGTTGCCATCAATGACAATATACTGCTGTCGGGGTTTCTTGATATTTGTATTGCATGCTTCGATCATGCGGGATGTTCCCAAAAATGTGGTGTTTTGGATTGCGCCACCTGAGATTTTGGGGTGCAAAAGCTTTGTTCCCGGTTACCATACAACAAAGAAGGCAAAGACTTATGGGGCACCCAACTGACCCCAAACCTAATGGTAAAGAACGTCCAAGGTTTTTCAACAGCCTTTCCTTGTCTCCTGAAAGCCCGGTTTATGTTGTATGCTTTAGGGCAGATGCAGTATGCGCTGTGCAGAACTTTCAGATGAAACAGTTCTCCTTTTCTCAGGAAAGTATCTTCTAAAACCTCGACTCTAATCTGCAACTCCTTAGTTCCTAAATAACAAACCCCAAGCCCGTGATTTTTTGGGACTGTCGTTGCTGTGGATCCAAACTTGCGTTGGAGAAGTGTAGATGAGTGAGCCAGGACCCCAAAACCTGAATCCTGAAAACTGAACTTGAAGGCCCGGTTTGGCAATCGCGTAAAGCCCATGACATAATCTGGTTTCAATAGAGCTTGATGTGCAGTTAAGATTCAGTGCTTAGAGTTTGTGATAGTGAGAACCGCGTGTATACACGGTAAAATCGTAGGATCCTGATGACTCCCCAAATTGAGCCATGATTTCGTGAAAGTCTCTTGTCAAGCACATCACCGGATTGCTACTCGCGACCTGAGAACATCAGGATTGTTCAGACTGAAAAAGGTGTCATGGAATTGATTCATGGCACACGCTGCGCTTCCCTTTCTTTGCTTGATCCCTGGTTGTAGCATGCGGGTACAACGACCCTTAGAGCTCTCAATCCCAAGCCAGAATCTGCAAACCTCGGACCCTCAACTCTACACAACTCTGCCCACCTTCCACCCCCAAACCCCAAACTCCCAAATACCCTCCCAGCCCAAGCGCCGACTTCAAGGACCTATAGAGCATAATTGACCAGCCTCAATCCACAAGCACCCTTCAGACCCAACTATCCTGATAGTCCGAAGCCAGAGCCGTAAGTCCACAAGCCTTAGACTGCGAACCCCGCCTTGATAAGCTTTCTTAGCTCGTCCTCGCGTCCTCGGGCTACAAGATGCGGGGCGTATTTGAATCTACGGCCTATAAGCCATACATCGGACCCATCTGACTTACCAAACAAACCCGATTAGGATTTCTTCCAATGCATGTGGTGCCTGGTGGGAACTAGAAGCAGTTCCGCATAGCATTGAGGGGTTCCTGGTTCTTAGCGTCCAGGGTTTAGAATTTGCTGGTTCCGGCGGTTTCTACATAGTAGTGCGCGTAGTTAGGCGCCCATCTGGGGTCACAACGGAGACCGTTCTGACCTCTGCACTCGATTAATCCTAAAAGCTAACTTGGGCATCCACATAAAGCAAAGCCCTGCATACACGCCTACAATGAGGCTCCTGTACCCAACCATACTATCAAGCAGGATCTTGGCCGAAAGGTTTGTGGTGTACTTCCAAAGAAAATGACAAGATGTTGTCCCAGACGCTTTTTAGAGACCTGGCCTACAAGCATCCAGAATCTTGCAGCGCGCTTTTTACTGCCAGGAGGGCCACGGCCACTTTGCTGGAGTTGATTTCGTGTCCTCCCAAGGCAAAGACAAGGGCAAGGACTTCGAGTTCTGGGGATATGCAAGCAGGTCAAGTCGCATAGGAACCACACGCTGCCAGTGCTATGAATTGCCTGTGTAGCTACCAGTCGAACTCCCGCCATTCGTTCCTACCTCATGGGTCCAAGTACCTGCTCAGGATATATTCAGCCGCCAAATGTGTTTTTGCATAGGTAGTTTTGGGGTAGTCGTAGCCTTTGTCCGCGGACACTGTTTTACATGGTCGGAGAGCAAAATGGAGCTCTACAAAATCAACCCCAGTGCTGTATGGAGCTGCATCTTAGTCTTGGGGATGAAATACATACATGTGCTTGCTTCGCAGCGCCGTGTAGATAAGTTCTCCCAGTAAAGCATTGCCCGGGGTTTCAACTGTATCCTGCGGGCGCCCAGCGGGAGTTTCTCCACACAACTCCTAGATGTTGCCTGAATCCAGACACGAAGCCCTGTAAAGCCTCGACTCTCAACCCCGGACCATGAATCAATCAAGAAAACGAGTGCATGAACTTTCAACCGATTGCAGCCATAAGCCTGGACTTTCAAGACCCATGTACAGGCTAGGCTCCAATGTTGGACCCGGCTTTGCCAAGGAGTCCGGACTACAAGCTTTGCCAATTGTGAACTTGCTATAGTTCAAGGTTACTGCCACATGTTCAAGTTAAAAGGCTTCCTTGTTACATAGCGAACGGACGTCTATTTGCAGCGCCAAGCGCCTAAATGGATTCTGGAAGATGCAAAATGCGGGCAGAACACTTTTCCACACTAGACAGAATCCAAAATCCCAAAATATGCCCCCAAAGGAGATCCTCAACCCAGTACACCCCAACCCCTGCACCTCAACCGCTTAAATTCCGGAAAAGCTCGTTTGATTGGTCGCCTTCGCCTCGTCGCCAACCTGGGCTCGCCGCCGAGATTTGCTTCGGCTTCGCGCCCGCCTTTTTGACAAAGGTGAGGGGCATTGCATGAGGGGAGACTTCAGGCACTAAGAGTTTTAGGAGTTGGGGGTTGGGGGCTTGCGATCTGTTTTTGGAGCTAGAGTTGGGAGCTTTAGATTCGGGAAACAAGGTTTAGATGGCTTCTTAGAGCTGACCAGACCGGAGCTTAGGCTTGACAATGTAGGGCTCAAAGTGAAGCCAAGCTTCAATGCATCACCATCATGGCAGCGCAACTGCTCCAGGTCATCATACTCTGTTGCTTGTTTTGTTTGTGTGATTTTGTGCAGGGTCTCCGGCTCAGAGATATGGAAGCAGGCCAAACACCCAAGTCTCAAAACACCCCCTCACCCTCGAATCCTCAAACCTTGAAATCATTTTGAAGACTTAGGTTCAAGCATTCCACCCGGGGTTGAGGGTTTAGGTTTAGGAACTGCAGGGCTTTAGTTTGGGGCTTGCGGACTCAAGGTCTCGGGACGCGGGCGGGGTGTTTTTGTTTGAAAGCAGGTTAGGTAAGGAGGCCCGAGATTCCATAGTTGCATTCTCACTATGCAGCACATTCATCAAACACTCTATGTCAACTCGCTGAATAGTTTGCATGCAAACATCCCCCGCATTCCCTGCAAGCTGCCAGCGCTAAACCTGAAGACTGAATCTTTTCCTTGAAGCTTAAAACAATTCCTTAACCTCAGCCTTGAATCCTAAGCACAAAGCGTGAAATGCTGAACCTAGAATCCGGAAGTCAAATCCCAGAGCCAAGGCCAAAGTCAACAAAACCCAGTTCTAATGCTCTCTGTCCCACCAAATGAACATGGAACTCCCCAAACGGACCTGTAAAGACGATTGTCCCTTCAAAAGTAGACTTCGTGGGCGACTCTTAGTTCGGCGGAAAGTCACGCAAAAACCAAAGGTATCAATCTGATAGCCCGAACTCCTGAAACCCAAATCAGGAAGGTACCCACCCAAGACTAGCCTGGATACCTATATACGCCCTTTTTGCACAAGGACGCTAGTTTTCTTGGGGCCCCTTTTGGGCTTCCATGCTAATGTTGGGAAGGTATGTTACAGCATATCTGCGTAATCCAGAATCGTTTAGTGCCTTGCAGCCTTTGAACCGTCTGGGGGGTTGCATGCAGACACAAGATTCGGGACCCTAGATAACTTCGGCACACTTATCGTCCCCAACAAGAACGACATATGGGGAACTACAGAAGTTGTGTTCCCACTCTATAGCCCAAACCACAAACACTGAAACCTAGAACACGGCCCCTGGACCCAATCTGTCTCTTCCAGCCTTGGTCGCGGGTAGTAGGACACGCCACTACCTGGACGACGTGCAGTCTGGAAAAGTAGAGTACGGAATTGTGGGTGGCACTTGGGCTTCAGTCACCAAATCCTACAACCTGCCACCTCAACCACGATTTGGGTACTTCAACACTTACTTAAGCTAGCTGACTATGCTGACTATTTGATCGAGTGCCCCTGCATGCGGTTGTGGGGTGGAGGGCAAATTTTTGTTGGGTTCAACGTCGAATGATCGGCACTTACCGTTCTTTTCAAATGGGCTTGATGCATCAGGCCAGGAATTCTGTTTCCGTCTTCTTCGGGCTTATCGGTCCAAAGGACAGAACGCAAGACTCTCAGTCCTTAGGGTCAAAGGATGCAGATTCTAAACTACATTGGCCGGCATTTCTGCAAACCACCCTAACCTCAAACCCTCAGCCCTGAATCCGCTAGGCCCTACGTCCTAGGCCCCAAGCCCTTAGCCACTGTACCTAAGCCCTGAAGCACAACATGCGCGAAAACAAAAACCAAACTTCTAGTCGTGAAGATGCAAACCATTCTCCGGGCCCAAACCAGGCTCCGCCCAGCCTTGCAACTCATGAGGCAGGTCTCCCAGCACTGGAGCCTCGTAAGCGTCGCACTTCCTGACGGCGCTCCAGTTTCCGGTTTCGGGCTTAGGGAGGTTTAAAGGGCGTAAAGACTTGTAGGCCCGTTTGGGATGTCGGGGGTTTAGGCTACTGTAGTTTAGAAAATGAAGCAGTTTGGTGCTTGGGGCCTTTTGGGTTTAGACTCTATGGGCTTCGGGCTTTGGAACGCCGCATCATCTCTGTATGCATTTGGATATGGAACTGACAGGGCGGGCTTGGGTATGTATTCGCTGTACATTGTACGCCTCGAAGGGCGGAGGTTGAGGATAGAAGAAAGCAGTTCGTGGCAGCAGCATTATGCTGTGGATGCAGGACATAGTATAGCACTTATGTCCGCCAAAAACCTGTGATCTTTAAAAAACCGAGTACAAGGTGCTGGAAGGTTTCTTCTGCACATAGCCATAGGAGGACTTCGATGAAACCTCGAAACCAAATCTTGAACCCCTAAACCTTGAGCCTTTGAGCACGCGACAAAAACTAAGTCCTCAGATTTAAACCTTTCTCTCCAAACTGAGAGGTTTGGCGGCCATATCCCCTGGTAATTGTGCACCTCATGCGAGAGAAAGGTAAGGAAATGCTCTCTGCTGAGTCTCAAAGCTGGCGCTGGCGTTGCAGGCTGTCGCCGCCGGGTCGGCGGCGCGCCGATGGCCATGGGCCAGGCCTTCTGAGGCAAAGGCCCTAAGGTTCACGGAGGAGGATTGAAACTTGCGGGAATGTTCTGGAAATAATATGTCAGGAAGTTCTGATTTTGCTGTATACGAAGGCTTGCGGTCTTCGCAGCATCTCGGGAAACACTGGGTGAGCAGATCTAAATCAGAACTGTAAAGCTGCCTCTGCTGCGCGACACGGCTTTTGCAGGATTTTATCGCTGTCATCCCTATATTAGCTGAAATTCACAAGCTTGTGCTCAACATCTAGGTCACAACATTTGCAAACCGAAGCAGTATGCGATTATGTCAGTTGTCACAGGGACCTGAGGGAAACTGATGGCTTTAAGAAGTAAACCTTAATAGTCGACCTGTTAAGAGACCCTGAGTTGTTTCTCGCAGCCCATCCTGACCGCCCACTGGCGACCGTTGTCGTGCCGGCAGCGCCCTTGCAAGTTGCAAGTAAGAATCTAGGGGTGCGCCACCTAGATGTGAATCAGAGTCTTGAGGTATATTTATGTGCTGGCGCCTTACAGATTTCCTATGTTATGTAGCACCCGGGATCCCCATTGCACTGCGTGTGAGTCAGATTGTGCACGTATGTTTGAATGTGGCCCGAAGCCAGGACATGTTTCTTTGTGTAGATGGAGTGCCCCTACACTCTCCAATGATCAGTGTTGTGGTTCAAGTGGCGAAGGAAGTTTGCACCATGCAACTCGGGTACACATACGCTTGCATCTTCAATGGGCAAAAAGTGCCTGCATACTTCCAATTGACTAAATCGCGTCCTGAAACACAGACACAGGCTCAGGACGCCCAAGCCTACAATGCTTGAAGTGCGCAAGGATGTGGGTCCCCCTGTTATACCGCCCAAAGATACTGTAGCCACTCACAGGGAATTCATAGGCAGGCTTCAGGGCGCAGGTGGTTTCAAGTTCAGCGTACACATTTTTCGGTCGAGAAGCAAAGAGGCATCTAAGATTGCTGAGGTTCAGCTTTTTAGGGGTTGTCCGTTTTGGTGTGAATCATGCGGGCTTATTTGAAGCTTCATACAGATCATGTGGCTGGCAATATAAAGGAAATTGGGTGTAAGGCGAAATTCGAGAGCTCCCAAGAGAAGAGATACCAAAGATTCACGAGAAGTCCAAGCGGCCCTCAGCCCAAGCGGACAAACGTGCTTGTCGACCCATAGGACACTTGGCCTTCCTGCTTGGATCTGCGCTGTTGACCGTGCCTGACGCTAGTTTCGGGATTCAGGTGAGCGGATGTTTGAAAGCTGAGCTATACTTTGAGTTGAAGGCTCAAGTCTACAAGCGCCTCAGAGACTCTATGAATCCTGAAAACCCTAGACACCTGAACCGCCCTTGGGCGCCTCTCTGCTTCTGGAGGAGACGGCCGGTGCCGCTGTGGCGGCAAGCTGCACGGGCGCGTGCTGGCGGGCATTGCCTGGGGGCTACCATGCGGCGTTCAAGTCTCAGGGCTTATCAGATTTTAGAATTCACGGTTTAGGGGAGGTTCTCAAACACATGAACGCATCAGTTGCGGTCACTCTCAACAGGGATCCTCATGCTTTGCGCGAAGCAGAGTCTCATCTCTTAATACCTTCCAATTTCACTCCGGGGTTCCGGGTTTAGAAGGGTGAAATGCTAGGGGCTTAAGGCTTTCCAGGGTTTTCGTGGTTTTGGGGGGTTCGGGGCGTGCACGGCTTCGGGGAGCGTTTCTTGTTTTGGGATGACGATTTCAGGGTCAGAGCTGAAAAGTCCAAAGTATCGTGTCAAGCTGTTTACCTACCCACATTTTTGTGATGCGCCCCTGCGTCTTTACCGTTCCTGCTCTTCCTTTGCCAGCTTGAGGCCTGAGTCCCCGCGCACAGACTTGCCTTGGACTTAACGCAGTGCACTGTCTCAAACAACAACACAAAGGCAATCCTCCGGAGTCTTCAAGCATTGGAAGGTTCCACAAGCCGAACCCGCTCCTTGTTCTTGTGGACAGTGCAGCATCGTAATAAGAAACCCAAAATGCGGTACAAGAACGTGCAACCTCGAAAAAAATCTGAGGCCTTGTCCCCTTCACCTGGGGGCCCTCGTTCCTGTACAATTCCAACAAGTGATAAGGACCCTTTTCTGTATATACGTATATCTAACCCGAAGCCTAGGACTAGGGAACCTCCCTCTATTTGCACTTTTCCGGGCACCTCTCCAGACGCGATTTGCTGTGCTCTCCAACCCCAGCGGGGCTTTACCTTGGCCGCGGGGCTTAGGTCGCTGAGAGCATTGGTTCAAATAGAAGGACACATATCACCTGTGGATGAGCTTCATAAATGCAAGCCTGGAAATCTAGGCTACCCAAGATGCAGCTAGGCTACTAGAGCCAAGAAAGTCCACACAGCAAGTGCAGGAAAACATACTTGTTCAGCTCTCTGTAGTAAGTTGGGAACTGACTAGGGATGAATCAAGGCCTGCAGCTTGACGAAGGCGGGAATGGCTGAAATCTGTATTGAAGGGCCTACGCCGCTTTAACAGACCCAGGGGTTCCAGATATGGGCTAAAAAAGTAGTGGCGAGGAGCCACGGCAAGATTGAGGCTGTGGGTTATAACAGAATCATCTGGAAATGATCCGCAGGTTACCCTCAGGAGGATCCTCATTCTCATCCCTCCTATCTTGAAGCCGAACAGTACCCCATGTTGAAAGCCTGAACACCGAACAACCAAAAGCCAGGTGACCTCAAGGCTTGACACTGAGCTGCCCCTACCTTCCCAGTAACTCTAACCACAAAACAGAGGTTCCCTCTTATCGGAAACAATCGAGCAAGAAGTACAAAGAAGATGAGGAGACAACTAGATTTGCATGTCACGCTCACTGGACAAGCCAAACCTACCTGAACGTCCCTATAGAATTCGAACCATAAACGCTGAAGTCCAAACTCAGTTTAGCCGCGCTAGGGGCGGAAACCACTGTCGACACCTCCGTCGCTGTCTCATGGACATCAGGTGGCGGCTTCCTAGCGGTCTCTGGCCTATACTGCTTTTGAGGACTTCGGGCTTTACAGTTCAAGATCGAGGGATCAAGACGTGGAGGTACGTAGCTACCCAATCATTAACGTCCAAATGTCACATTGACTAGCCCCAAAAAAGAACACCTGCTGCATACATTCCCCGCTATCCCAAAAAGACCGTAAATTGTGGCACCAAGAGCAGGAGAGAATCCCTGCAATCTTTTAGTAAGCCTAAACCTTGCTCATGTAAGAACAAGACTGCGCAGTAGTGTAGCTGTGTAGCTGGAAAATCAGTATCCCATTACCCCGAAACAGAGAAGTAGCAAAAGCACCATTCATCAACCTTCTCGCATGGTCCAACTGGATGGGCTATGCTGCGCTACAGCAGCCCTCACGGGACCCCTACAACCAGGTGCGGGACTTTGGCACCCAGCGGAGGGTTGGTGGCTCTGGCTTTGCAGCCTTCCAAGCCTGACACGGGAGCAAAGTAGCTTTGAACCTTAATTATTCGGAACAGGAGCTTAGGTATGTTATTCCACACGTATACAAGGATTACAAGGCGAACGTATTCGTAACTTCTACATTGCCCTCACTCAAAAGACAAGACTACAAGCGGCCGACAAAAGACTGCCGTCCAAGTAAGGAAGCCTATTTGGGGTCCACGCTAGTTTCGGGTAAGGCTGGAAACGTCTCAACGGATCGTCAGGTTCAGCGCCTTGTACTTGCAAGCGTTTGTTCCAGATTGTGCGTCGCAATATGTATAGGAAGGAAGCGCCCAGAAACGAAAGATAAAAGCTTCATCGCGACATGGAAGCTGAGCCTATTTATGGGAGCCAACTTTTGAAGGGTGCAATTGCTGAATTCTTTGGCCTCGGCCTCTGTTTTCAAGTTTTAAGCTGTGATCAAACAAGCATGGGAGCTCAAAGAACTGCATATGAACACCGTCTGTTTGGAATGCAGTCTCCACGAGATTCCATGTTTGTTAAGCGGTTAGCGCGCAGGGTAGCCTACGCTCTCTGAACCTGGGAATGTAAACGATGACCCTGTTATCCTCAACCCTGAATCTTGAGCCTTGAAGCTCACCAGGCCTGTGGACTCCACTGCCGACAAAACGTCTGTCATTCCTACATCACTGACGAACACTTTGACTACCGTTAGCCAGACTGTTACCACCACGGTTGCCACCACTCACTACTCATCACCCCCATCACCACTCATCACCACCATCACCACTATGACCACCACCACCACCACCACCACCACCACCACCACCACCAGCAGCACCAGCACCAGCACCAGCACCAGCACCAGCACCAGCACCAGCACCAGCACCAGCACCAGCACCAGCACCAGCACCAGCACCAGCACCAGCACCAGCACCAGCACCAGCACCAGCACCA